CGAGATTCGAACTCACGACCTCCCGATCACGGAGCGAGCCCTCTACCGACTGAGCTACCGTGAACGGTAATTAGGAAAAGAAAAACAAAGTACTGGTTGCTAAAAAATCATCTCAAGAACCACTGGACATATCATCAACAAACTTATAAACAAGGACTAGGATATGTTGTAAATTAAGAAAAAAATTGTTCAAGGCATCATCCTGGGGCAAAGGGCGTGGTCTAAAGGTCACTTCAAAGTTGACCAAAAATAATGTTTTGTTAAAACTTTGATATTTTGCTTACCATAAAGACTAGAATCATCAAGTCTTATCAGTTGATGTATCTTGGGACCTCATATCATGTGGACTCAAAAGTAGGTCACTTTGGCCTACATTTTGAATTTTATGGCTAATCTTTTCAAAACATTTAAGGTCATTATTTCGAATACTGAAAGGTGTAGAATCATCAAACCTTATAAGTTGATGCATCTTGGTGCCTTAAGACATATTTTTGTAAAAGTGGGTCACAATGACCTTCTTTTTGAATTTTGCAGGCATTCATTTTCAAATTGTTTTAGATGTATATTTTTGGACAATTTGAGGTCTTTGATCATCAATTTTATCTTATCTGTTGATGCTAAGGCCTCAAAGTATCAGGGTATTTAAGAAGTAGATTACAGTAACCTACTTTCGGAATGTTACAGCTATATTGAAATATTTCCGGTACTAATTGACATAGAATCATAAAAAGTTGTCAGTTGATGCACCTTGGATCAACGGAATGCTGAAAAGTAGGTCTAGATCTTCTTGACCTACTTTCGAAATTTATAGCTATATTTTAAAGAGTAATGGAAATGGCTCGCAAATATGTTGAAGATTACGGTGAAATAAATCCAAAGAAAAACCAGCATTAATTAACGGAGCCAGGGTAAAAATTCCTTTTGCATTTAGGCAACACCCATCAGCCACGCAATTCTAAAGAATCACGCACGCTAACTTTTGATTCCCGCCTACATTTTACACCCATTTAATTCAATATAAATGGCAGTTATCCAACCTTTATTTCTATTGTGGCAAAATAGATTTAGTAAGCAAATCACCAATACTTTTATGTTCAGCATATGCAATCATTGGTTTTGTTTGAAAGATTTGTTTGCATGTTTCATCTTTTAAAACTAATGACCAGTATTTTAATAATTTGGATTTCAGAAATTTGATTCTTGGGCCATACTTTGTTATTAGAACATTAGGTATTTCCTTTGTTTCTTGATTTTATGTAACGTTATGACTCTGTTTAAAGCCAAGGATTTATTAATAACTGGGTCAATCTTTAAAAGGTGTGATCTGAACTCAAGAAGTTCGTTGTGCATTATTTGTCAATTGTATTGTGTACATGTCTTATACATTCCCCTAAAAAAGCCTTTTAAGTCACAGCGCCACCCCAAACCAGACGGACAAAACGGGGGGTAAAATTTTCTTACATATACCCTCAGTTTCAGTCGGAGTAAAATGAGTTAAAGGTGGTGTTTTGTCATTAAAGGGCGCGCTAGGGCAGTCAGTTTGATTTCTGCAAGGTATTCCTTTGGAAAGGTTTGTAAAAGAAAAATTAAAAGTTTAATTTTTTTTTTTTGAAATAAGCTTCTACTAGATTAATATTTAAAATATTTTATACACGTAGGTCTTCACGGCATTCAACTGCTGCAAAACTGTACCGCAAATTTGTGGCAACCAGAAGTGCGGTGGATACATGTAGGATTCGGATGCCAAAGCCTTGGGTGACTTCTATAGAAAACTGACTGACATACATGTATCATCCTGCATCATCTGAGAAACTGTTGCAACCTCACTGACTACCTTCGGTAACTACCACCTTCATATCATGCAATGAAAAAAGGTGCAATCGCTTTAGGAAATTGGTTTGAAGACAAAATGGCCATTTGAGGGTCTAATAATAGAAATTCGACAGCACTGGGCAATATGTCATATCAGACTTACTCGTGATGATGACTTTAAACGAGACTGTTGATATTCATGTTTCATTTACTTATTGGTTAATAGCTTTTCTCGTTTTAAAAATTGATCGTACGTAGAGCATGCTCTTGCGTATCGAATCAACTCGGAGAAATAAACCCCATATGCAGGTGATAATTGTATAGTGCTGCATAAGTAAGGGAAGTTTTTGTTTCATAGTTTGTTTCACAGTATCCAAATTTACTTAAAACACTTCTTTTATTTTAAACAGTAACCATTTAATCTTTTTGAATATGATAGAGTAAGGTACCACAGGGGCTAAACGGGGGTCGAAAAATGACGCTTTTTATACAGAAATCAACTCCTCTTACATTTTACGCAGTATAGCCTTATCATCTATTGGAAGAAGATTGGTGGTGTCCTGTAAAGGTGCAATCTGGGGACCACAAAAGGGCGAAAACCTGGTTCAAAGAACTCCTCTTACATTTTTGGCAGTACCCAAATCATTTTTAGAAGATGATTGCTGGTGTCCTGTAAATGTACAATATGGTTTTGGAATTTTAATTTTCTCTCTGGGAGGCCAAATGGGGATCAAAAAACGACTTTTTTTTCTAAAGAAGAGCCCTGTTTCCGAGAACTCTTACAATTTACACAGTTGGACGATGATTCGCGGTGTCCTCTAGGTGTGCAATAGGGTTTCAGAATTTTCATTTTCATCCTAGAAGTCAAAAGTCAAGAACCACTGGGCCAATTTCAACCAAACTTCCCACAAAGTATCCTTCGGTAAAGGGGATTCAAGTTTGTTCAAATGAAGGGCCACGCCTTCTTCCAAGGGGAGATAATTATGAAAAATTAATGGCATGATTTAAAAATATTTTTCTCAAGAACCACTGTGCTTGAAAATATGAAATTTCTGTAGAATCATTGTGAGGTAGTGTAGATTCAAAGAAGATGGGCGTGTTTGGCGTGTGATCTGCAGGAATAAGGCGTACGAAACATTTATAGTTTAAATGTCTACGATTTGGTCGGCTGACCACAGCTGGACACACTTTACAAAGTTACACACATGGGAAAATGTTACATTTAGTTTGAAATACTGTGTCGAATTTAATATATCAGTCCGCTTATCTTAATAATTACTACATGTAAAACTTAGTAACGCTTCACATAAGTAATAAACACCTATGGGGTATAGTTAAATGCAATTACATGTATATATTAAAGTGTCAGTAGGTTGGAAAAATTGCTTTTGCTTTCGGTGCAACAGAACCAGAATTTATCTATTTGAAAATAAATCAGTACAAAAAATCAAACTGACAAAAGAATTGATTGTTTGTACTAAAAAAAAATATTAACGCTCCATGCGAGGATCGAACCAAAAATATTTATTTTTCATTGCACTGGACGGGTTACGCATACTACTGAGCTATCACCGCTCCACACATTTTATGGTTTTTAAAGCGACAATGAAGCACCGCATTTACACGTTCGAATTTTTTTTGGAAAAAGTTCATTTTTTATTGTCTCTGGGTCTTCTCTCCATTTTTCACAAATGTTTGTTCGTTTCTTTGAATTAAAATGCACAAAAATAACGTTTCAAAATCATGGAGAGATGACCCAGAGGTAGCAAATTTTTAGAAAGAAGTGTTTGAAAATGTAACATTTTGTACGACTCATCTAGCCAATTTTCAAGTTCTTTTTTAGCAAATCAAAATACAATATCGGGAAAATATTTCCATTTCCTATTTCACAGGAACCCAATACAGCAAAAGAATGCTAAAATTTTATGTGACAGATCAATGAAATTTTCACTTTTCAAGTGCGCCCAGATTCCTGCCGAATGCCAATCAAAAGCGCCCTCGTTCTTTGTTCAAATCATGACCCCGGGGGTAGGGTGGGGCCGCAATGGGTGATCAAAGTTTTACAAAGAAATACATAAGAAAAATCTTTAAAAATCTTCTTCTCAAGAACATCAAAGACATGATTGGTCATATTAAAAGGTGTTAAAGGTTAAAAAGCCACTTCTGTCTCATGTATAGTAACAGATTTACTGAGAAAAGTATAAGAAGCTAATATACTATTATGCTAGTATGTCAAGATTTCCAAACATTATATGTTCTATATACCAGCCAAATTACAGCAGTTTGAAATTACAGAATTATTTTGATATTGTACTTTATTATTTTTGTTCTCATGTAGTTCTCAGAATGCATCCCTTCCTTCCTTTCTATCCGCCCCCTCTTATGTAGCAGAAATCTGGATCTACTCCTGATCGGAAACATCAAACAGCACACCCAAATCTTTTTAATAATAACGTGTATAAATTCATTCTTTTAATATTGAAGTTTATTTGCTCTACAAATTTAGAGACCCGGAATATCTATACCAATTTACAACATGATAAATACAATAAAATAAAACCATGCCAATATTTTATGACAATGTGTTTCAATCAATTCAGTCAATTTCATGATAGAAACAATCAACCAGTTTGACTCTCATGACCATGGTGACCTATGAAGGGAAGTAACTCAAAAATAATGATCGGTGCTGGTATGTCCTTGTCTTCTCTCTATATATAAATTTCAGCCAAAATATCTAGAAGTAATAGGAAATGAAGATACAATAATGTATATAGTACAAAAACTATATGAAATAAGTGGGTTTAGAGAAATATTACGGTGAAAAATTATGTAGGTCCCTTTTATCGACATTTTACATAGGAAAAGCATTCAGAATTGCAAAAACACTGATTTGATAAAATCTAAAAAAGAAGGTTGGCTCGGTAGGTTAAACAATCCAGAATATAGCCTGTTTAGTTCAATTAAACCTAACCTACTCAAGAGTTCTCGAAAAATTCTATATGATATAACCAGGAACCTTGCCAATGTCCTTAAATATCAAAAATCATAAAAGGCCTGGAAAATGAAAGATATTTTGGACTTCTTATCCGAGAATTGGTAAAGAAACTAATCGTGAATTTGTTTTTGCACAACGATTAAATAAAGAAAATTTGAAAATGACTTTGCCATCTGAGAATAAAAAATGGTTAGGATCTTTGAGCAATTTATGTCATATTCAAAAAATTATATATATCATCACCAAGGCATTTGACCAATTCTATTTTTGAAATTAATTTCGAAGGAAATCGTATGAGTGTCTGTATGTTTCATCAAGACAATCATCTGTCAAAGCAACGTCGAACTGAGTGCCCCCGAACTCAACTACGGCATGGATCAAAGAATCCTCGGACCATCCACCATTTGGTCGACGTAGTTTTATGGTGCCTACTTTAGTACAGTTTTTCTCGGTGGTATATGTGGGATTTTGTGAAGTTGACTGGTAAATTCCTATCCCAGTTACTGCATCTTCTTCACTCGGTGTGTACGTATTTTCGATTTTATGACCAATGGGAACCTCTTCTCCTTTCTGCACTAATGCTTCAAAAATATGCTGAGACATGGTTTTTCCGTCTGCTGGTCTTTTAATTTTGTAATCTTTTGGATGTAAGCCTTCAATGAAGGGCACGTTAACTTCAAATCCAATAGAATAGCGACTGATTCTTGAAGAAATGACGTTTGGCGTATGACCAAACAATACAGCCCCTTTTAAGACTGCTAGTCCTGGATCAGCTGGTGCTATAACCTTCTTGTCAGGGAATAATTCTTTTATTGCTTTTAAAACCATTGGCGATTCGGAAAACCCACCAACAAGGAGAATTTTTGACACAGAATCTTCAAACGAGCTCATAATCTCTGTTATATGTTGAATTATTCCTTGCAGAGTATCTCGGAAAAAATCTTTGAAGATTTCTGGATGTACTCGCAGTTTTCCGGCCTTAAATATTACTTTCTTAGCGTATCTCGTCTGTGGAAGTGTCTCTGCCAAAGTTTCTCCTGTTTCTTCCTCAAATATCTCAAGCAGACGCAGTGGGAGTGTTATGGTCACCTTGTCTTCTAAGTCTGGTTTGACTGTACGTTTCATAGTCTCAAAATCGCGGAAAAGTGAAATATAATCATCCATGTTATCATTCTTTAAAGTTGTCAAAACATCATTTCCAAAGAGTTTGACCAAAAATTGGTAGAAGGCGTCATCCACTTTTGTTCCACCCCACGCTCCGCCGGTGGCATGGTGGACTTCGCGCAGGTTCTGGTTCCCCTGTACCTCATGAACTGTAATGTCGGCAGTACCTCCTATACAAGTTTGAAATAAATGTATAAAACGATAAATTCGCTTCCCTAAACAGTAATTCCGTAAAAGACATGCCCAGGATTAATTCAATGTATCGATAAAAGTATATAACACTGCTATTACATTAATATAATTACAGTAGAATAAAAAAATAAAAATGGGTTCCACTGTTTGGTCCTAACATATATTGACGTATTATTTAGACTTGTTTCTCACCTCCCAAATCAAGTACCATATACCGCGTCCCTGGTCTGAACTTGTACGATTCAGTCTTTCCTTTATTGACTGACATAACTCCTATAGGAACATGATTGCAGTAAATGGAGGCCGCTTCTGGCTCCAAGGCTAAAATCAACTGTTTCCTTTCAATACCAGCCTATAAATGAATAAAAGCAGTTAATTCACAATGCTCAAAGCCTTAAAAGCCATAGATAATGCAATGAGCTTGAGATATTATACACTTATTTCATGACTACGAGGGGGACAGTCAAACTGTTGTCCCGAGGTAATAGGAAAAACCTGGGAAACTGTTGCCCGAAGTCGAAGGCCGAGGGCAACAGATTTCCAGGTCTTCCCCATTATCGAGGGACAACAGTTCGATTGTCATGAAATAAGTGTTTTATTACCTAACCCACTATTTAATTTCTTAAAGTAATGTTATAATAATCAATAGATTTAAAAATACATTGACAAAAGTTTGTATTATTTCTTGAAACCAAACTAAACAAGATGAATATTAATAAAATTCTCACACCAATTGGTGTAAAATTTGAAAAAAAATAATGGGGATGATCTTATCATGCACTAATAAATTGATGTATACATGTATTGTTTAGTAAGCAACATAATGATGACTTTAAAGGACTTATCGCATGTTTCCAAATTATTTGAAATTAAAAGCGTAAAACGTTCTTTATGACCACAGTTAATAAATTTTGTGTTTTTACTGTGGATAAACCGCAGTAATTAATCAATTATTGACTCAAATGAAAACCCCTGAATTAAAAATCTAAGTTAATTAGATAGCGATCACGTTACCCTGTGAGGTCAAAGGCGACAATGGCTGATCAGCTCTTCACGTTAATCTTACTAAAATATACGCGATACAACTTGAATTTCCGCGTTGTGAACGACCAAATCACTGGTTTTTTCGATATGAAATTGAATATCCAACCTTATATTTTAAAATTGTCCGCAAGAAAAAAAAGAGAAATCTGTTAACATGAAATTAAAATAGCAGCGACGATAGCGAGGGAGACACGGCGAAGACGAAGAAACTCGCCATCCCAATACAATTTGATTTGTCATTTTATCACATGTATTAACTTATTTATTATGTATTATATAACTTGGTCATTCTTCGTTTTAACATAATATTAATTTATGCATGTATATATGCCTTCATATGTTAAGGATGGCGGTCTTGAAAAATAATTTTCCGATCTGACACGAAAGTAATCAGAGCTACAGACTCGAAATGTTTGGAATAAAAAAAACGAAAATATCTAAAAAGCCTTATACCTTAGAACTAGTTAAGGTTTCTATAGTAATTGAGAAGCACGTTAGGAATTATTTTTTCAGCATTTTTCGTGATTAAGCTGCATTTGTCGTTGATAACTCCGTAAATTGTGTGCATATTCTCATCTCCTTATGACTGAATTGTCGCCTATGAAGTCATAGCAGTATTTCGCCGAAATCCGACTGAAATATGTATATTGCCGTATTTGAATTTCAACTCTTAATATCTCTTACAAAATGATTTCAACAACGTTTATTGTATTCAGTATTTTAATAAACAAGGTTGTAGATAATATTTTTCATAAAATTTCGATTTTTGAAAGATCATGCGATAAATACTTAAAGGTTTGAATATAACACCCTGAGTCAGAGATTTATAGTGAGTGAAAGTGACCTACATTTCCCAAATTACCCTCAGAAAAAGGTGTTCTTGGCCTCTTGGACTTTAAAGTGATATTTTATTGATTATATATTTATATGGGAATGGGGATTACTTTTCAAATGATAATTTCAAACTGAATGCTACGAAAATGCTTCAATTTATTCATAATTCAATATTATAGTCGGAAATACGGGAAATTAATTATGACGTCATGATGGATCAGATCAGCCATGCAACAGTTCATTCTGTGACCGGGTAAACTGTTTGACACTGTTTCATGATGTGCAAAAACATTGAAGTGAATCAGGAAACAGTTCAAAATGCCTAATTACAATTTATGTAGTATGTTAGATAATAACATATACATGTTCATGTACTGCATCAAAGTATGCTGCTGTTTCAAAGAGGGTAATTTAAAAATAGCTTTTGCTCATTAAACAAACAAACAGACAGAAAAAGGTAATAACAATCTACATTATTGGCAACACATCTCCCACCATGTACCAACCAAGAAAGTTTGGTTATTCTAGGCCTCAGTGTTCTACTGTACAAAATACATACATTAATTTTCTGAGCACAGTATGTACAATGTATATCCACAAAATAAGGTAACGGTGCCCTCTCTTTAAACAATAACATAAACATATGTAGGTCTTTTATTATGCAAGATGTGATCTGAAGATAATATGATGAAATTAGGTTTACACATTAAATGCGTTACTTTACTTTTGGGTGCCATAAACTTTCCACCTAACATAAATCAGATGACAGGTTTCAATGATTCTAGGTTCTACACTGTGCAAGATTTGGATGTATAGCAAAACAATTCCAAGTTCACACGACCTATTTTGGGGTTGCAACACATCATTCCCCTAAGATGCAAAAATGACAAAATTTGATTGTTGTTTAAGGCCTTAAGTTTAAGTGTTTAAGATATAACCTGGGCATGAAAAAGCAATCAGGCAAATAGAAGGTTAATGTGATACATTGATGCCGCACATTAAGTACCAGTCCATATAAAAATCAGACAAAATGTGTATAAAAGTGATACATAAAGGTTCTCAGAATTGATGATTTTCCACACATAGATTTCTCTTGCACTATGATCCATGTATGTAAAATAAAAAATGTTTTAGTTCATGGTTACTATGGAAACCTGGCCAAAGAGATTTCCCTAGCAACCGGCCAATTTTTCCATGTGGTAGAACAAAAAGTCACTTATCTTTTAAGACTTGAAATGAAATGTAAATATGAATAAAATTATTTCTCTTCACTAGCATAAAGAAGATACACATTTTAAGTGTTTTAACAACCCAACACGAAGATATCAGATTTAAAGTTAGTTCTGCAATAGACATTGGAAGATATACATGTACATGTTTGGCAATTTTTGCTGATTCAGCATTTTTCTTGATTTTGGCAATATTCAAGGTCAAATTAAAATTTGCATCTAAAAATTTCAGCTTTTGCATGTATATCACATAAAAGTAGAGGAATGTCTCTAATGAAATCCGAATTCAAACACGTGGGGTTTTTGAAAATTAATGTCCGTTGCCTAGCAACAATAATGGATGTTTTGATAAATAAATAGTGAATAATTGTGCAGTGTTTCACAGAAAGATTGTATAAATTGTTATATTAGAGTACTAGAAATAAATTTTAAGGTGATAAAACATATAACAGACTTCTTAGCAAATTAAAGACTATTGTACAGTTACTTATCTCTATTGCAACAGCATATTCCCCATAGCAACAAGGCCGCAAAGCTTAATTTTGGTAAATATTCATGTACAGTGGTAAGAAGTGTTTCAAATTTAGTCCTATAATTGCAGTTTAGCAAAATTAAAAATGTATTTTGGACCTCATAAAAGTATTTTTGTTACATAAATTTCCCCATGGAAACAATTTTGAGAACATATCAACCAATTGATTTCATTGAGTGTTTGAAAGATTCATTCTCTGCAATTACTTTGACCTTTATATATGAGCAGGAGAATACATAGTCACAGAATTTCTTCAAACATGCTATATGTGTTATCAAAGAATTTGAAACCATTAACTCATATAAGGCAAATATTTGTTGCTATGTAACATGGTTACCATGGCAACGTGCCCTAAATTTTGAAAAACTTAACATGTTGTATAGAGTCCCATTATAAATGTTTACAGCAATTCAGAAAAGTGACAATGACTGTGTATAAAAGTCAAAAACGTGCCGTCTTGTATGCAAATGGACAATGTAATTTTGGTTTAATGAAAGTATTTATGTATTAACATATTCCATGGCAACAAATGTGAACACATACATGTAACAACTTAGATATATCTGATAAAGAGTTAAAGCATTTTTTTATATAACCACTGTCTTGAAGAAGAGTAATGGCACACAAATTGTAGGTGGAATTCGATGTACTCATCTCAAATATTCACTAGAGGAATACATTGTGCAATCATAACTTTAAATTTTGAGATGACACATTTTTACTATGGAAACCCTTTGTTAGCATGGAAACCGGTGTATTAAACCGTACATATGACATGGCAATATGAATGCTATACTAACGTCTACTGCCGCCTCCATCATGAATTGTTTTGCACCTTCATCCCAAATGGCTGGAACAGTAAGTACCCATCGAATGAGGTCCTCAGTAAAAGTGTCCACTCGGGTTGTCAAAGTTTTCATCAGGTGCTCTTTTAGGTACTTTATGGCCATCGTAAATACAGTCATCGCAGGCATTTCCTTTCCGTTTATATCCTTTATTGTGGTGGATCGTCCTAGACTCTGTTAAATATACAAAGACATTTACATAAAGTGCATCATATCATCACAATATTTCATACGTTTTGTTTACATGAGCAACTTGTGCACCAACTTTATTCTTATGGAGAGTCATCTTGAAGCGTTTGAAATACAGCCATCCCTCATGCTCATTGTCTTCTGCAAGTGATGCGTATTTGTTTTCTGCCTCGTATCCAAAAGAATGGAAGGTTTTGTCCGGCTTTAACAGAACCGCTGATGGTGTTTTATGTGAAACTAAGGCCTGATTCCCAGCAATCCAGTTACAGGAGTTTATTTTCAATGGATCTTGATCAAATTCGTGACGAAATGAGAATGCATATCCTGAGAAAGTTGTACCAAAGTCAATGGCTGCCACTAAAACTGGCACCATGAAACTCGTTTTCTGTGGAAAAAATAGAAAAGGTCACTTTCGTAGGAATTGAATCCACAATCAGTGTCTTCAGACTTCGTCCATTTTCTTGCTAACTATATTACAAATTTACCGATACTAAGTACATGTAGTTTAAACTTTTAGTTAGGTGATGACATGTTTATATTCAAGTCACATCGGGAAAGTAGGGAAATTTTTCCCCGTCTTTTGAGGGATTAGACTTTTTGTATTTCATCTTTCTTCTTTAATACTGCCCCCCCCCACTCAATGAACTCTTTGACTATCTGACCCAAGCGATCAAACCTACCTGACCGCCACATTCCTCTCTTGCCCCAAAAGACACCAACTTAGATTCTTTTGCCCCGGGCAGGACTTTCACCTACAAATCAAGGGGTGGTCGACTGCTGCACAAAAAATTTAGAAGGAAAGAAGGAACTATCAGATACACAATGTAATTTATGGCTGAACTGGGAATGGAGCACGGTACCCCTTCGTTTCTAGATAAGTTCTTTTACCACTGATATATCCAGCTCCTTCTAGTCCAAACTACATTCCTCCCCCTTTAACAGTCTTCGCTCTCCATAAACAAACCCCAGCTCATGGCCATTTTCTAAGCTTTTAGATAGCACAAGCTATTGAACGACAGTACGGATACGGTTTATAGATATATCGTTTTAATGGGATGGTTCAAAGTAGGCAATCCACAACAGCAAAACTGCAACAGTATTTTCTCTTTTGCATAGTGATTATTCTTATTTAATAATAAGGGAATAAATAAGTCTTTGATTTATATTTTGAAGAAGAAGGAGCAAAATGAGTGTAAACCCAACTAGTTTTCTCGTCCGCTACCTCGACTTTGGAATACAAATATTTGAAATGTTAGCTTATATTTACATGTATATACTGAGTATAATGCATGTATATCAACATTACAAGTGGTCGAGATACAATTTACCTCAGCCTCGCGTTCAGCATCACGAGGTCCGAGATCGACGAGTCCGCTCTTGAGGTTTTTAGATTCCTCCTTGGCTTGAAGAGCCTCCATGTTGTCTCCGTTTACGCCAGTATTGAGCTTGTTTAGCTAACAATTAAAAGCAAACGTGTATATCAAAGTAAAATAAAAAAAAAATACAGAAACGCATTAGAACTTAATAAACTTCTGTGCATGTTAAAAGTCCACAAATTTGGAGGCAGAACCTTCCCTCTCTCTTACTACATTTTCAACGATGCTAACACTCAGAACACAAGAAAAGATTCATAGGATTGAATATTCCTTAGAAAGTATATATTGTTCAGACCAACAATAAAATAAATTTCTTTGAATATATGTATGAATGAAAAACAGATCAAGTAGATCAAGATGAATGTTTTACAAAAGTAGGTCAAACGTCAAGGTCATGAGGTCAACAATCTCAATTCCGAAAGAAAGGCCATGTCACAAAGAAAATATGTAAAATATGAAAGGCCTACCACCATCCGTTCAGAAAGTATCCTAACAAAAAATTACTATAGTAAACTATAGTTAACTATAGTTTACTATAGTAAACTATAGTACTTTCAAGTTCCAATGTTTTCACCATAGTTAATCAAAGTTCCAAAGTTTTCACTATAGTTAATCAAAGTTCCAAAGTTTTCACCATAGTAAATCAAAGTTCCAAAGGTTTCACAATAGTAAATCAAAGATCCAAAGTTTTCTCTATAGTAAATCAAAGTTCCAAAATTTTTACCATAGTTAATCAAAGTTTCAAAGTTTTCACATAGGTAATCAAAGTTCCAAAGTTTTCACTACATCATATCAACGTTTCAAAGTTTTCACAATAGTTTATCAACTTATTAAAGTATTTAATAATTTTTTGCTTATTTTGCCGTTTTTAGGGTGGAGGTGGGGTTGGGTGGGGGATAGGGATTGTTGTACAAATTTTAATTTACAAATTAGTTAATTCAAATGCAATATTAACATTTATTAATTAAAAATTACATTTTTACTAAAGTTGATGGAGCAGATATTTTAGTTAGAAAATGACGCAGATTTTATTTTATAGTACATCATTCTCCTTCCTCCATCAAAAAAAATACATTTAAATAAATGTTGCTCATCTATCGGCGCGAGAGACAACCTTACATTAAAATTCATTTCTTGTATATACTTTTTTAGGGGAGGAGTCGGATGTATAAAAAGTTCTGTGAAGCTTGAATTTTGACCATAAAATTTCATAAAATGTCAAGAATGGGAATCAATCACATAATTCCACTGGTTTTACTTTAATAAATCAAAGTTCCAAAGTTTTCACTATAGTAAATCAAAGTTCCAAAGTTTTCACCATAGTAAATCACAGTTCCAAAGTTTTTACCATAGTAAATCAAAGTTCCAAAGTTTTCACTTATAGTAAATCAAAGTTGTAAAGTTTTTATTATAGTAAATCAAAGTTCCAAAGTTTTCACTATAGTAAATCAAAGTTCCAAAGTTTTTACTTTCGTAAATCAAAGTTCAAAGGTTTTTACTATAATAAATCAAAGTTCAAAAGTTTTTAGAATAGTTAAACAAAGTTCCAAAGTTTTTAGAATAGTTAATCAAAGTTTCAAAGTTTTCATTATAGTAGATCAAAGACCCAAAGTTTTTACTATTGTTAATCAAAATTCCAAAGTTTTTACTATAGTTAATCAAAGTTCCAAAGGTTTCACTATAGTTAGTCAAAGTTCCAAAGTTTTCACTATAGTTAATCACAGTTCCAAAGTTTTTACCATAGTAAATCAAAGTTCCAAATTTTTTTCTATAGTTAATCAAAGTTCCAAAGTTTTCACTTTAGTAAATCAAAGTTCCAAAGTTTTCACTATAGTAAATCAAAATTCCAAAGTTTTTTTCTTTGATACTATAGTTTACTATATTAAACTATAGATAACTATAGTTTTTTTGTAAGGGTATGGCCAAGGTAAAAAATTTTCAATAAAAGATCAAACTCGAAGGTCAAGGCCATGAAGTAAAAAATGTTGGTATCCAAAGAAAAGTCTTGTTACAAGGAATGCTTTTGTGAAAAATGAAAGCCCTGGCACCAACATTTTAGAAGTAATAACTAAGTTTATTTTTTTTTTCAAAAGTAGGCCAAATTCCACGGTCAAGGTCATGCGGTAAATAAATTTTAAAGAAAGGTCTTGTCACAAGAAATACACTAAATCCTAGCACCAACCTTTCAGAAGTTCTGTTCAAGGTTAATCTTTTGTTAAAGTTTTTCAAAAATAGGCCAAACTCGAAGGTCATGAGATGTTGGTACCCAAAAAGGGTCTCTTCTCAAGGAAATGAAGGAATACAATTCAAAAGTCATGGGTAAAGTTAAGGTTTTTGCAGACAAACAGATTAACAGAGAAACAGACGGACAAAAACATAGATGATAAGCTGCCGAATCTCCGGTAACGGGGGCATAATTAAAATTAAGAGTTGGAATTTTGAAGTTTTGAATAATAAACTACATAGAGAGACAAGGTAGCTAGAAAATCATTTTTATTTAATGTTTTTATTTTCTGTAAGATTACACTAAATGTTATTGAAAAGTAAATGAAATCTAATTGTTGCATTCTTATTAATTTGATTATAATTACATGTTATTACTTGTAAAGTGCATCTACATGTTTTCACAAATGTTTGCACGGTAAATGAATTTAAAACATGCATAATATACTAAATAAATGCAACACTTTTTTCTAGTATAATTTAAACTAATAATTCATGTATTTGCATGAGTATTCAGCACACAACTTTCTCCTCCAAACCAAAAAATAGATAAATAAATCACAACAAAAACGCGCAATTTAAAATTATTTCTCTTCTTTACAGGTCTCAGATACAATTATTTCTTTATGCCCCCGTAATTCGAAGATTCGGGTGCATACAATTTTTGCTTCGTCCGTCCGTCTGTATGTTTTCTGTTTATCTGTTTCTCCACAAAAACTTTAACATTGCTCATATATGTAACTATTGAACAGTTGGTGCTAGATCTTTCATACTTCACATGTGTATCCTTTGTGACAATATCTTCCCTTGGGTACCAACAATTTTGACCCTTTGACCTTGGAGATTGACCAACATTTGAAAAACTTTAACCTTGGCCATATCTTTTGAACGGTTGGTGCTAGGGCTTTCATATTTCACAGATATATTTCTTGTAACAAGACATTCCCTTGGGCAACATTAATTTTGACCCTTTGACCTTGGAGTTTGACCTACTTTCGGAAAACTTTAATCTTGACAATATCTATTGAATGGTTGGTGCTAAGGCCTTCATATTTCTTAGGTGTATACCTTCTGACTAGATCTTTCTTTGGGTTCCTACAATTTTGATCTCTTGACCTTGGAGTTTGACTTGCATTTGAGAAACTTGAATCTTCGCCATGAGCTGCCATACGAGGGCATCAATGTTTCACTATAGCATCTTGTTAACCATAAAAAAAGCTAAAGAATGAAAAAATGCTTCACTCTATAACACTTTACCTCTGGTGTTTTTGTGGCATGATCACGGTTGTTAGATGGCTTTTTCTGCAAAGGTAAAGTAAGTTATGTAAAATTCCATTCATGAAAGGCTTATTGTATTCCTATAAAGGAATGAAATCTATTTTTCAGTTGACAATATAACTAGTACAATTCTCTGTTATCCTTGGACTTTGAGTAATGCGTGGTGTTCTCGACGCTACATAATTAGCGTCTCTCAAATGGTGACCTAGATTCTCATTGGCTGCTAGCTCAAAAATATTCATAACATAGCACAACAAGTAAAATTATGTAAGTTCGAAGTATTTTATATTATTTCATACAAGTAGAAAAAAGAAAACACAGAAATGTGGAGTGTTGATCATCCTAAGTTTCCGTGTTTTGTCTAGTTCGCAAACAGAAGCATGAGTTAGAGTTTGTATTTCAATGACATTTTAAAATTTTTTTAATAGTTTTTTTTTTTTCACTGGCAATAAACAGTCCCTCGCGTGGAAGCACTTACGCAGGAAACATATTAGGATCCTGCATAGCAGGCGTAAGCTTGAATGGTTAACAAATACTTTCCAATATAAAGGTTGCATAGAAGTCATGCAGGCCCGTAGCAACGCTTTTCAAAGTAAACGGGGGAGCTTAAATAAGACAAGCAGAGAGAGAGAGAGAGAGAGAAAGAAAACTACCAAAACTGACCATGTCCAATTAAAAACGCTTAATTTAGCATCTATTTAGAGGGAATCTACCAACACTATATGAAATACCTCAAAGTTAACATTTTAATATCCTTACAGTAAAATTACATGTATTTACACGTTGAATTTTTTGATGACTTTTCAAAAGGGGCTAAAGTCTTGTACGTGATGATTTCCAACGGCTTCCTGCAAGTTAAGTCATATAAATAGGTCATTGAAAAGATTAAAGTGCCATTGAATTGAAAATGGTAAATGTTGATAACGTCCATCACACAAAAAAATCTGTTTCTAAATTTCAATGTATTTATCCAAAGAAATAGTCGCACATGAAAGCCATATACATATACATATACATACATACATACCCCCCCCCCCTTCTCCCGATTTCACCATTTTACACTCCTATTTTAACTACAATGCTAGACTGTGGTTTTATCGTCATTTTAAAAAAAATATTTGAAATTCGGTCAAATTTCATAGCACAACGAACTGAAATTTACACAGTTCTTCACATGTGAAATGTACTTGAGTGAAATATACTTGGGAAAGAAGTTCGGGCAAATGTCAACGAGTGTAGTAAGGGACCAATGACAGCGTTTCTTACAGTAATGAGGTGGGGCTTAATTTAAGTCATCTCATCGTTTGTCAACAACAATCTAAAGTTACTGATGTTATTAATTTCTTAACCAATGAGATTCTAGATCACCATTTGACTGGTAATTATCAAGCGTCTAGAATGTCACGCCCTACGAAAAGTCCAACGTTAACAGAGATTTGTACTATTTTCATTCACATTCACAAGCTGATTCAAGTAAATAAATATTGATTATGCATTACATAAAGTAAATTAAATTACTCATATAAAATGACAAAAATAACATCAATTGCTATGTTAAAATGTAATTTAATTGTCACGTTTAAATTCATATACTAGTATGTTATATATTTCTGTTAACTTTCCATTGGATTTTATTGTTTAATTTCTAAGTATTACCTGAGAATTCAACCTTGGATCATCCCATGTAGTTTGTTGAGTTTTATGGTCAATGAAATAGCTGTAAGAAAAAAAATCCATCAAGATATCATATTATGGATGTAGGACATTGAAGTAAATAAGAAAGGTTTTCGGACGGTTTTGAAGGGTATCTACTTCTAAACGTAAATCATTTAGTCTACCACAGATGTAGAGAACTCACTATGTTTTTTTCTTTGGTTCCCATCTGGCTTCCCAGCCCGGTGGCAGAGGTTCTCTATCATCATTCTTTGGCTAAAATATAAAAGAAAAATTAATTCAAACTATTGATTTCCTATACCTTTGTACCAAAATATTGTCCAATATTCGTCCTCTGAGAATTATGATATACCATTTTATTTTTCTCTAGTTTTCCCAGTTCTTGATTACATTATCTATGGTCATTAAAAAATACAAAAAGCAATTTTCTATATAATCCTAAATGTACCAGGGGTGATCAAAAAGTTCGCGAACTATATTTACAAAACCACAATTCAGCTCAGAATGAAATTTGGCACACATGTATATGGTCATTCACATGTTTATAAATTACAGATGTAACGTAATGTTTTGCTTCATGTTTGTGACGTCACAATATGAAAATGACGTCAATATGTATGATGATAGAAAACGGTTGACACGGTCGTACTACATCGTCGCAAGCCACGGGTTTTGGTTCCATTCTATTTCCATTCCAATAATAGTTTGTGGAAATAGAATGGACACAAAACCCTTGGCTTGCAACAACGGATCGAACTCGAGCAACAAACTGCCGTAAAGTTTAAAGTAGGCCCTATATCTTGGAAATATCTTGGAAATTCCTTCGCAGTAGCATATGGCAATTTGTACAAGGTTTTTGAAGACGAAAGACTTGCCAGAAATTCAATCATTAATTGGACTGATTGTTTAGTGAAGGAAGGGAGATGGTTATATATATTTCATACTTTATTTTTTCTTTTCTCTCTCTCTCTCTCTCTTTCATTTTGTGCCATATTTTGCATTGTATATATATATATATATATATATATATATATATATATATATATATATATATATATAGCACAAAGAAATTCACTTTTTATAAGGATACCCACTTCCGCCCCAGCCCGGGGTTGAACTCTCGACCTACGGAATCTGTCTCCTAGCAGTGCAGGAACAGCGCGCTAGACCGCTCGGCTATCTAGGCAAGTCAAAAAACTTGCTTTCGATGCCGATGGAATTCTCGCGGCGCTGTCCTACACTACACGGTCATTGAGAATGGAAGTGAGATACAGTTATTTGGACATTAGTTTTATTAGAGGATCGTTACCAATACACGTTGTAATGAAATAAAATTATATATATATATATATATATATATATATATATATATATATATATATATATATATATATATATATATATATATATATATATATATATATATATATATATATATATATATATATATAAAATGACTGTAATTAGTCGATAGACATAATGTTTTGAACATCAAATACTATCAAGGATTTTTTCAAATATATTTTTTAGTATAGATCTATGAAGATCAATGATAATTATAAAACAGCTTTGTTGCACTCCTGACTCCAGTAAAAGTTAAAACTATAGAACAAAAAATTCATAAGTGTTGGCAATATCAAGTGGTAACGAAATTGTGCAATATTTATAGCCCAATACATCATATTTAAAACACATGAAAGTATCTAAACTTGACTTAATATTTTGAATTGTTCCCTATTTATGTCAAAAAAACCTAAACTCAAATATATATTTAGAAGATAAAATATGATATATAAAATATTATATTTTCCTTCACAGGAAAAACACTGAGCAACTGAGGTCAACCAGAAACTTTCTACTCATCAATTTTTTCTTTATTTTAATTCAAGTTTGATCATCGTTGCACTCCTGACCAAGAGCATGGGAGTCTTTAAAGTAGAATTGTGAAGTAGAAATTACATCAGAACTTGTTTTGTTGTTTCAGTGAAGTTGAAGTGGAATTACTTGAATTTTATAACAATTTTTCAATGTGTTTACTTTTTACATTCACAAAAAAAGAAAAGAAAAGATAAAAACACATCTGAATTCATAAAATTGAAAAAGAGAAGGATTTTTTGATAATAAAATTGTCAATAATTTAGTACTAAATTATGCAAATAGATCATTATTGATTAAAAAATATTTCTTAGCATGGATAGAAGTCTTCTCATCATATAATTTTAATCTTTAAAAAAATGCCTTGCACTCCTGAGTCAGTCCTGACCATAGAAATACAGATCTGAAACACAGAGAGACTCTGTCATTGATAAATCTATTTAGAAAAAAAAATTATGTCTTTATTTTCCAAAATAAAAATCGGAGAATCATATACTGATAGAAGTTTTTTCGTGCTGGGAAGCAAAACATCAAATGTTGCACTCCTGACATTATTGGGTATGTACATATACTTGACTCTCATTAATGCTGCTTGTGATTTATATAACATTTTTTAGTTTTAAATTGTATATTAAAACAATCTAAGTTGGTCTCCTTAAGGACATAAGGCTATTTTAATTCACTTTACAGGGTCATTCAAACAAATGGAGCATGGATCATGCATGATAAAAATTTATTACTATGCTTAAATATTAAGCATCAATTAAATATCGTTAGAAATTTATATACTTTAATGTTTAATTACAGATATAAGATGTTGTAGGTTTCTGCCAACTTTCGATAGAATTTTATTGTTTTTATTTCTCAATATTACCTGAGATTTCAGTCTTGGGTCATTCCATGTTGTTTGTCGAGTTTTATGGTCCACGAAATAGCTGTAAAACAACAAGACAATTCATATCATGTTATACATAATAGGGGAAAATCCAGGGAAGAAAAATAGGTTAATTTTTGGACGGTTTTAGGATATCTACTAATCCTCTTATGTGTTCATGTTCTTCATCACCCTACAGCTATAGTCCTGCTGGACACGTTATTACTGGGGGCGTAAATATAGTTAATAATGATTTAATAATGAGGACCTTTAATCATTTATTTTAAAAAGGTAAAAATTTCGGGAACCCCGATCTTTCAACTGGCGTCATAATTTCATAAATCCGTGGAAGGTTACGCCAGGCGATGGCCACACATGAAAAAGAAGACCTTGACACTTTGTCAGAATGAATTAAAAGTATCAGCTGGATGTTGAAATCTCGCATTAAGCGACTGAGAGGCAATGTGAAAACCTTTTATTAATTTGTCTTCAATAATGCAGAAGTGAAAAAAATGAATTAGATTACACGAATAATATGTACTCGTCCCAGCTTACAAAACAGGTAACAACATTATCCTTGTTTGTAAGGCTCGTTTTTTAAATTGTATTTTAGAGAAACTTGGAATTAGCTCATAGTTCCCTTTCTAAGGATAAAATTCTTCAAATCATTTTAATATTCCCAATTCCAATAATTGATTTTGAATTACCCATTGCTATACTGGATTCCTAAACTACATAAACATTCTTATAGAGATACATGGCGGTTCCAGTAAATGTTCTACGAAGCCTCTTTACTCCTCATTAAAATATTAACAGCTGTGAAGGAGAAACTTCATAAGTACTGTACAACAATACATTGTATATTCGAAAAGTGATGTAAATCAGATGTAGATACTTTTCAAAACTTTAAGGGACTCTAAGGAAATTTGAAATCAAAAATTCTACCAAAATCAATAACATTAAAACGTACGACTTTTCAACACTTTATACAACCATTGGGGATAAAATAACGTAAAGTAAAATGATATAAAGACATCATAAACAGCTGCTTTTTCAGTAAAAATGGAACTCGTAAATTTACTTACCTTGTCATTGGTCATTTGCAAAATTATTTTGTAATATTCTGATTGTACACGCAAGTATTCTGAAGTTGATATTAAAAAATTGCTCGAGTATTAATTGACAAAAAAAGTCAAAATACCTTTGTAGTTTTTGGAGACCAAGTCTTTCAACAATCTTTCGGAATTCCCATCGGTATTAATTGTGCCCCGTTATTAGCAGACCTATTTTTGTTTTTATATGAGGTAGAATTTATTCAAAAACTTCTACATGAAAAGAAGAAGTATCTTGCTGTGGTCTTGAATTCACGTTTAGATATATAGACGACATTTTACCTATTAACAATATTCATTTTCATTCCTACGTTGATTCAATATATCTTTTTGAACTCGAAATAAAAGATACCACAGAGTCTGACACATCTGTTTCATATTTGGATATTTTACCAAAAAAGACGTCAATTGTAACCTTACGGCAAAACTTTGTGATAAATGTGATGGCTTTAACTTTTCTATAGTTATTTTCCCTTATTTATGTAGCAATATACCATTATCACCTGCATATGGAGTTTATGTTTCCCAGTTGATTCGACACCCAATGTCAAATAACTTGATGAAACAAGGATATCAACAATCTCGTATAAAGTCAACATTTGGCAAACGTTATGGTCGATACAATGACCTTGTCATTATTAAGTCGAATGTTGACTGACGTTTTTCATACAAATTTTTAGACCTTTATTTTCTCAATGATTTGTCTACGGATTTTTCCGTTTATCCGATCATGACACGCACAAGGCGGGTGTACCTGGTCGACAAGGGATACTTACTCCTCCATCGCACCTGATCCTACCTCTGATGTTTTTAGAGGTCATTGTTTGCTCTGCTACAAATACGTATGTATCGTTTTAAAGGACTTTGATTGCTGTTTGTTTTCTTCATATTTCTCTACTCCTAAATTTGTATGTCTTCTACAGATATAGAGAACTCACTATACTTTTTTCTTTGGGTGCCATCTGGCTTCCCAGCCCGATGGCAGAGGTTCAGTATCATCATTCTTTGGAAAATCCAAGTGTTTCCATTTCTGAAATATATTGAAGGAGAAGGTTTGGTTTCCTATCCAATAAGAAAGGAAAAATTTAGGTTTCCTATGCTTATCTCCGTTGTGGAATCTCTCTCTCTCTCTCTCTCATATATATATATATATATATATATATATATATATATATATATATATATATATATATATATATATATATATATATATATATATATATATATATATATATATATATTGTGAGGTATTGTCCACTAATATATTGCAGTTCTTTTGGTGTACACTACAGACCTTCCTAGCTACAGTTAAACATCCTAAATATTAGGACTTTGCAACTTTGACATCATACTCTCATAAAAATAATTGAATGCCATATTTGCTAGTAAGAAATGTTTTCGGTCCTCTCTGGGGAGCGTAAGTTTCTTTATGTGAAATCGCACAAATTTTGGTATTTGCATTGCACTTATGGTCGTAGCAATGAAGAATCCTCATCGTATCGTACCATCACCTACCGATACGGGACCTCAGTTTTTGGGTCTCACCTGAAAGACCCATGATTTCACCTCTTATGTCAGGTGGTTGGAGAAGAATCAGACACTACCTATTTTTAAAAGTCTTAGATTTAATGCGGTGCCGAGACGAGAGCCGAACATATTGAATACTAAATGAACGCCCTAGCACTAGACTACAGTGCAGAGTCCTTGAAACCCTTTGGTATCGAAAATGTTCCATGCTTGCAAGAGAGATATTGAAAAAAATGAGTTGTAAACTCGTTCAATGCATATACGTGTAAAACAAGCTAAAATGATCGATATTATATATTTTTTCTTCGCAGCAAAGATCTTTTACTGATACCATTTTTTATTGCAAGATTAACTAAATGTTCAATTTCCCCGGGGTCTGATGCAAACGAAATATGATTTTTTTTATCGATTACAAACATATTAATACTGAATATTGATACTGACATACATGTACTGACTGCATAATGTCTAAGGCTTTATTTGCACAGTAAATAAAGTATTATACAAATGATACATGCATAAAGTACTTCTTAGATATTGCTTCCGTACGCGAACTAATATACAGAACATTTTGCTAATAAAGAAAGAAATGAAATTATTAACATGTAAAGCTTGACTTAACGAGGTTGGATCCTGATATTTAAAGTCTTAAACTTTTTTTGTCAAGTATATTTTTAGTTTCTACATACATAGCTTAATTAAAAAGCAAAACCAAAAATGGGGGTCAATATGCTTCTTTTGGCGCTACAGAACATTTAATATGACCTTTTTGCACTGAAATTTGTGTCTTAATCAAAAATTACATCTTCGATGTTTTCCTTCCAATGATTTTATCCAAAAAAATCATGGGACAAAATAAATTATTAGTATATTTAATAAAAGACACTTTAAAATTGTGACTAAGAAAAAGTTTCAAATTGCTTCGCATAATCAATTATTTGACCTTTTTGCACTCAAAAATGTGATTTTTCTGGCATTATAAATTTAACAAGCAAGAAAATTATTTTAAAGTCTTAAACTTTTGCTGAATTTAGGCAGATTGATCAAAGTTATCTTATATATTCAGAAAAGAAAAGCAAAAGTGGGGGTCTATGATGTAAATTTTTAGATATTGCTAAAAAAGTATTAATTTTATGTTAAAATTGGCTAAATCTTTTCCTGGACTTTCAGAATATATTTACTATATTTGTCGCAATATAATGAAAGAATTCATGAGAAATAATTTAATAGATATTTCAGAACCAGCATAAAACATTTCACTGCAAACTGCAAAAAACAGCTCTGTGTGCAACCAGCATGGAAAAATAGGAATCTAAACTTAACAGTACTGTTTATATTTCAAAAGGGAAAAATTGATCATTTTCACCTAAAAAAAACCCTCCGCCACAAAATATAGTTCCTGGCTAAATCCTATCTGAATGGAATTTAATCGCGATTTTTTCATTGGATATAGTTTAATTTGCATTGTAGAATCCAGATTTAATATTTGAACTTAAAAATGATGCAGAATTTTACAAATTAAGGTCCAGACCAAAATCTGCCCAAAACCTCAGGATCGAACCTCCTTAAGGAGGGATTCTTCTCTTATATTTATCAAGAGGCCCATTAAAGATCTTAATGGTCACGTGAGTATACATGTGTAATACAAGTTTTTACAACACTGTAAAGGATCCATAGAAGTACAGTGAAACCTCTCTAATCCGACATGAACTGGGAGACAAATTTTGTGTTGGAATAAACAGTGCGTCATATTATACAGTGAAAAGAACATGGAGATTGGTAAAATAGGAATGAAACTAAGGGTGGGAATTCAAATTAAAGTGAAACAGATTGCACGGTGTCGGATTAAATAATTTTCACAGTCTTTGAACATTTAATGTGTGACACAGTACAGTTAAGATGCATCGGCGATTTTTTTAAATAAAAAAAATATGCTCTTTACAAGGATGGCCGATTCTTTTTATGACTTCACTGATATCGGACAAATGTAATGTGGTTCAAACTACATGTTGATGACGGTTAGATTTTTAGGTAACCTGAGCACCCAGGTGACGTATTGCTATCTGTTTTTGTCCGTCGTCGTCCGTCGCACGTTGTGTGTTAAGATTTGAAAAATTTCAGCTTCTTCTCTGAAACCGCTCAACCAATTTCAGCCAATTTTAACGTATGGCATGTATGGGTGAAGAGGAACCAAATTTTTGAATTTTATGGTCCCTGCAAATTTTTAGGGAATAGATGCTTCGCATATTTATTTTTTTTTTTTATTTTCACATTTGGTAAAGTAGTCATATAAATACATAATATGGACAAAAACAAATATTTGACTGTTTACTTATAGAAAAAAAATTATTTACTGATTTTTTCCTCAAATTTCTTCTTAGATTGGAAGCTTTCAAAATTGTAGTTTGTTTGGAAAATCGTATTGATTTGATATATTTTAAAACCTTAATTCCATTATCATATTTAAGTTACATTAGAAATTTTCTTTCTGTCTTGGATTATTTAAACATTTTAATTAAATTCATTGTTCTGTAGTAATTTTGAGAAGCAGAAAAAGACATATTTTCAAATTCCCCGTTCCGCAAAAAATATAGTCCCTGTAGATTTCAAAATCAGTTACCCATTTCTGTTTAATGCTGTACAATTATGAGGATGAAGGAAAACTATGATTTTTCAAATCTCTTACATCTAAATCTATAACACATATAAGCAAATATACTTTGAATATTTCATTTAGTCTGAAACCAGACAAGAATCCCTCCTTAAAATAATTCATTTTTTAACCTTAAAGTAGGGTGTAAAATAAAGTAATAATCATGCTTTAGTAGGAAAAAATTCTTCACCATATCCTGTTTTGGAGGGCCACGGGAACGATTGCTATATAGTTTTTTCTGCAAATATAAAGCACATTTATGTAAAATCCCATTCAGCATTAAAAAGCTCACTTTAGTTCTAGAGATATGAAAACTTTTGTAATTTAATAATATAACTATTTTCATTAACTTTCACATGCTCATTCAAACAAATTTATTAATTGATTATGCATAAATATTTACATAAAGTTAAAAAAAAATACTTATTAAATGGCATTGCATAGATTGCTATGTTTAAATATTAATTTACGAATTCAACTACATACAATGTATGGTATACAAATATGTTTCTGCTTACTCCGATTGGGTTTATTATTTTATTTCTAAATATTAACTGAGAATTTAACCTTGGATCATGCCATGTTGTTTGTCTAGTTTTATGGTCAACGAAATAGCTGTTAAACAAAAGCCAAGATATTATATCAGGGATAGGGGAAAAGTCATTCACTAAAAAATGTACTTGGACAGTTTTACGATATCTGCTTCTAAATGTATAATTTTATCTACTACAGATGTATAACAGAGAACTCACTATGCCTTTTTATTTGGGTCCCATGCGGCTTCCCAGCCTGGCGGCAGAGGCTCACGATCAACCATTTTGTAGATCAAATTGTTTCAATTTCTAAGATACTAGAGGAAAATTATTTATTTCGTACATTTTGGGGCCAAATAATTCTCATCCAATCAATCAAATTTTTGACATCTAAAATTTTTAAAAGCATTCTTAATATTGAAGAAGCTTTCCAGAACTTCAACAACTTGGCGCAAGGCTTCTGTCAGATAATTATCAAATTGCCATAAAACATCGATAGAAACTGATGTAAGCTACATTATACAGTACTGTCCTGTATATTTTTTTCTTAGATGAACTATATAATTATTCATTTTTCTCAAGGATCAGGAGGTTGTGAGTGACGTAGGTGATAGCTTTACACAATATACAGATTACAGTACAACAAGTCGTTGGTGTGATTTTTTTATTCGAATATATATATTTACCCGATTTGTACATACTGTACAATTAAAATAATTATGTTAAAATTAACGTGTTTGCATTGATACGCGAACAAACCTACTGAATCCTTTAGGCTTCACAGAATTTGATCAAGTGACATCAAAAAGGTCTTATTCTAAATTAAAATAAAACGTATATATAGTCCTGCATGGGTATTTGATCGTGATATTTGTATTCCTTATTAAATTTCAATATAAATTTTTAATTTAAATTGAATTTTTTACGTTAACATTATTGCTTCTGATTTGTCTCAATAAGTATCTTTACTTTTATCAGCTTTTCCCGTTTGTATGTCATAATTAAGTGACACTTTCCGAACTTCCGATAATACTTGTACATTTATTCTAACTATTACTAACATACTCAATTTGGGTCGACAACACACTGAAAAATTTTTATTAGATGTACTTTTGTTTTCTTCCTTGTGTTCAAATCTGCGTCATAGTTTCAAATTATCAAAAATATGGAAAGAAATTGTTACAACCAAACCACTATATTCACGTAGGATTTAAAATTAATTTCTATATTATAAGTAACCTTGTAAAAAAAAAAAATAATAAAGCCTCTCATTATGTTTATCTAGAATTCTATTTAGTGCAAAAATTATTCATTA